AAATGTAGTGTTCTGATATATGATAAGCAGCAGTTAAGTTAAAGTACAATGGAGACCTTATACCAGCCTGATTGCTGAGCAGATATTGTATGCTGTGACTGTCAAGAAGAAAGTGTGGTGCAGTGTGGACATGAGCTAATTTTTGCCAGATTTGAAACGTGCACATCATGTACCTGTTCAGACCCCTAAATATGATTATTTGCTTTATCTAAATTTAGATTATGTGTTTTATCTAAATAGCATAGCTGATACTGTAAGTAAAAAATTAAGTAATAGAAAAAGAATAATAATTTGAAAGATTTTTGTCATTTTTTCTTATTGCATGGGTAACATTCCCTATGCAAATGTTGACAGCCTCATCTCAAATTTATCCACCTGATATATTTTCCATAATCTAAATTTGAAATGGGATCAGATCCTCAGGTTGTATCATGCTTAGAGGTCAGAAATAACCTGCATTTGTCTGAAGAACTAAATATTGCTTAAGAGATTTATAGTCACTGTCAGTAGGATTATTCAGAGCTGTTTCTTTTTCTTATTATTATCATTATTTTTATCATCAAAATGAAATCAGCATTTGCATTTTGAAATCAAATGGGGAAAGCATGGTTTTATATGTTGAAGTCATCACTATATGATGCTGATTTTGATGCACAATAGTTTTATGTTGATATTATAGTGTAAGACTTGAGAAATTAATTTTTATAAGGTTAAGAAAAAATGGTTATGGATAAAATATTATTTCTTATTTATTAGTGAAGAACATTGTGAATGATAATAATAATGATAATAATAATTTTTGGTATTTTGATTTTCCTGTATTATTTTTGGTTATGTATTTTACAGTATATCCAAGACAAAGCATGATATGTGTTACAGAAAAGACCAAACCCTATTGTACAAGAAGACAGCAAATTGTTTAAATGTTTATTTCATATTGATGTTTGTACTGATGTCAACGATTGATGCATGTATTTCACAGCTGTGAATATTGTATAGAAGATTCATTTGCTATATGAATACTATAGCAATAATACATTATTATTATGTTTAGTTGTAATCATATACTTTAGTCCAAATAAAGTTCCAAGAAGTAAGATAATATTTCTTCCATCCTATATAAGTTTTATGAATTAAAGCATAAAATCTCGGTAATGCTAAGAGTTATCAGATATGTAACTTTTCATAGTCAAACTACATTTCTGCTTTCAGATAATAATAGAAGAGTTTAGAAGTTATGGTAAGCAAAGTTTAAAAGAAAATGAGTTGTGGAATTTACAAGTGAACAGAACTTTGGGGTTGTAGAAGCCAATTCAGACCTTAGAATATTCATCTTAGGATAGTTGATACAGTGTCGGCAGAAGCTGGAAGGTAGATGAGGTGAGAGGTGGTGACATTTTTGTCATAAAGTAATAACGATTCATTAATATTTTATTTTTGATACATTGCTACCAACAAGAGATGCAATTTCTCATATTTTCCAGTTGTAACTTTCACTGAAACCTTCAAAATTTTATAGATTTTCAAAATTTTATAAATGAAGATCCCTATTTGTAGTTTCACCAGTAGTTTACAGAAGAATGTTATAGAATAATACTCAAAAGACCCCATGTAAATGATAAAAAGAAGTATAATGAACTAGCATATTAAACTGTCAGGATTAAAGCTTAGTGAAGTACTATGTTTGAGTATTGAATATTAGACTGTATATATCACAGGCATAGGAGTAGATCCATATTTAGATGATGGTGCGTAGTCAGTTTATAGTAGTTCACAGTGTATAGTAGGCATATGTTTACTTCATAGTTCATGGTAGTTTTTCAAAGTGCAATGAGGTATTTACATAACTTCTCAGTCACTGAAAGACAAGAATTTGTGCATATGACATTTTTGTACCAGTTATATGGTATACATATTGTTGTGATATAGATCATCCAAGGGGAAAAGAGTCAGGTGGACTAAAACAGTCTTAAGTAAACCACATTTGTCTCAAACCATATTCATGTTGACAAATGTAAAAAAAAGTATGAATGAGAATGAATATCTTCACAATACAGGGGATGCATTTGACCGGTTTCAGTTATATCTTTGCCAGAAATACACTTCTGACTTTTTGCTAAAATATTTTTCCTCAGGCTTGTGCATATCAAGTCTAGACATCTTCTAAACTCTACGACCATTTAGTCTGTTGTGTGGAATTTGATGTGTTATTATTAATTATTCTCGTCAGTGTATTTGATAATAGTGTGTGTATGTGTGTGTGTGTGTGTGTGTGTGTGTGTGTGTGTGTGTGTGTGTGTGTGTGTGTGTGTGTGTGTGTGTGTGTGTGTGTTTTTTATAGTTTTCTGTGTATGAAAGTGACCTGCAATTACAGAGAGTATCACTAGGTGAGGGTAATCAGTCTTTCCTCATAAAAACATTAAAGGAATAAATAAACAGTGCACTTTCTATAAAATTAATTCCAATCAGTTAAAAAAATATATGTGTATAGAATAAGAAAAAGATGCTGTAAGACAACAACATTAGTTAAATGATAAGGAAACAAGATTACACATCATGCAAACAGACTAGATATATTTCTTTATCCAGTGACTGTAGCTACATCCACATAACCTATTGGAAATCTGGAATTGATAAAATAATGTAAAGTTTCTCCTGAAAACAGAAAGTAAGCCTGAAAAGTTTCTCCAACAGACTGTGAATAATAAAGCCTTATCCTAACACTTTCGAAATGAGGATTTTATTAGTCAGTTACAGCAGCACCAATAATTATGCCTTAAAGGACAGTTGTTGCTCTCGCAAATGTGTGCACAGAGAACAGGAGAATGAATGAAGTCTCTAAATTACTTGTATAATAGAAACAGGTAATTAGACTTATTCAAGCTGAAATGCTATATCAAAGTACATAAGAGAAGTACAGTTTGGTCATAAAATTGATCCTTACTATCCTTTATGGATTAAGGGCATTCTTTACCTTCATATATTATCCTTGTTCAGGTTATATATACATACATATATATATATATATATATATATATATATATATATATATATAGAGAGAGAGAGAGAGAGAGAGAGGAGAGAGAGAGAGAGAGAGAGAGAGAGAGAGAGAGAGAGGGAGAGGGTGATAAATCAATAGATATGAAATAATTAATTATTAAAAAATACATTTATTAAATAATAAAGATTTCATTACAATAGTAAACAGTTTCCTTGCTACAATGACAACATGAATTGAAGATGGAAACATTTTCTTAGTCATGAAAATTTATATATTTTTTTTCTTTCTTTCTTTCTTTCAATCTTTTCTTTTTTTGATAGAAGATTTTTGGAAGTAATTGAAAGTGGAAGATTCATTAAACTCTCAACAATAAAAAAAAATACCATGTCAAAAGAAGTTATGCAAAGATGTGATAATTGGTATTTCATCTTCAGGCTGGAACTGAAGATGAAATCAAGGAGGATTCTGCGACTGTCTTCTCTTTCCATAAACTTTTCTTTTGTGTGTGTGTATTTGTGTTTTCTGACATGTGTTTTTTCATTCATCACCACTTATAATGCACTTACTTTGATATATTTTTCTTGTGTGTTAATATCTTACTTAGTGGATGGAAAAAAAGTTTGGGAGTTTCCCTAAGTTTTCATTATTCCAGTAGAAAATTTCTCCAACGAGAGTATCATGAACTTTTTTTCTTACATGAATATGTATTTCTTGGTCTGTTATATTTTTATTAGAGAAAATATTTAATTAGTGAAAAATTATTCCACAACATTTATTAATGTTCATTGAATTGATGAGTGGTTGGTAGTAGTTTTTTGTTTTCTTTTTTGAAGCCTTTTCTCTCGGCATAATTTATGGTAAATGGTATTGCCTTGGAGATGACACACACAGCTGAGTTGTGGGGCAGCACAAGTTTGTAGTTGCTCAGCCAGCCCCACCCAGTCAACTCGGCAATGAGTGAGTACTGACATCAGTTTCAGGGGTAAACGTCTGGGTAGAAGTGAAACTGACGCCCTACTGCATCGTCCTGTAGCTTAGAAACCTTATTATTTAACGGACAGGTCCCTTATATCCACTTTGAAACAGGACCAACTTTTACATGTTGTATATTAACTTGTATTTCGTGATGAAATAAAGAAGCCATGATATTCTGTGGATTTTATTAGAAAATTGTGAATATAAATAGGTTTGAACATGCATCCCACACTATGAAGATTAATGCAAACACTGATTTTGGGACATCCTGTTTCCTACTATAAATAAAAAGACTTATTCTTGCTACATGCAAACCTTCAACTGCATTATTGCTATATTTGTGAAGATTGACAACTACAAAAGTCTTTAAATCTGTCTAAAAGAATAGTGATATTATTACATCACCATGTCACAGGAAATAAAATGGAATGGTTCAAACACAGAAGAATATATGATACCATATACATCTTGAGATTTTTTCTTCATTTTCAAAGATGATCAGCGGTAATAATTCTTTGCCAAAGGAGATTGTCTTTTTACGTATTCGCAGACACGAGGAAATCACAATGCACTTGACATTTTTTTTCTCTCTCTCTTTCTCTTTTAAAAACTCTTGTCGTGTTATGAGATTTATTTGTAAAAATAATGTTCACTAGAGTATTAAGACCTACTAGCTATTTAGGTGAATGATAAAACCTATGTACACAGATCCCCTTTTCAGAACACTAAACATACAGCCTGCAACTTGCTTTCATTCCTTAAACGGAACATATTTTTTGCTTCATCTTACTGTGTAATATATATATGTATATGCATATGTATTTGTATGTATATATATATATATATATATATATATATATATATATATATATATATATATATATATATATATATATATGTTTTTATATTCAGATTAGACTACAAAATCTTAAACTACTCATATAGGATTTGATGTTGTTTCATAGCCAAGTGAATTTCATCTATATGACTGACAAGATGCAGACTGCTATATATGTTTTCCATTCTGACAATTCATAAGTCTGCCAAAAAATATACATAATACTTCATTAACTGCAATCAACTGATAGTTTAGAATGTACTGGAATATGTATATCTTACTGGCTCTCCTCCCCAGCTTACACTATGTTGATATTTTTTTACTTTCCAAAGAGGTCAAGAAAATTAGGAATACAACAATACATATTCAGTGGGGTCTAAACAGAGGTTATGTTCTGCAATACTGTACATGACTGATAGTTATCTGACGTATGAGTGCCAATGCTATAAATATAGGTTGTAATTTGTTTGTTTGCTCTTTCATAGCCTCTATTACTGATGTGTGATTTATTTTGATCGTATGTCTACGTAATCATACTGAATTTCAACACTAACTAATACTACTTTTCTCTTTCATATACAGAGATAAGGAAAGGTGATTGTAAAATGAAAAGTAGACATACAATAAAACTTGGTATTACACGAAGGCCCTCGTTTAAGTTTGACTCTGTTTTGTGAATCTTTTATTGAGCAAACCCCCAAGAACACAGGGAGGAAGAGAACCCTTTGAAATTGCAGCATAAACAATCTGTGATAAGCCTTATCATATAGATAATTTGGGGATTTTTATTAAACCCTTTTATTCTTTACCGTCACCCTTGGGATCTGCATCGTGGGACTGCATACTGTTGACTTTGACGGCAATGGGAGAGACTGTGGTACTTGTTGGTTTTTCTTTAAGAACTCTGACCTCTTTTGGTGGCTTTGCTGTGGTGACGCGAGGTCTCCTTGGATCATTCGGAAGGCCGGACATCGTCGTGAGGACTAAATCTCTCAGGGTCAGCATTTCCTGTGATTCCTGTTCCCCAAGGCCTTCAGGCGAGTTAACATCTACTGATGCTGGAGGAGTCTTCTTGTCCTTCATTTCACTGTCAGGTGAGTCTTCTACTCCTGACTTTTCCTGGTTTTCAGCCTGAGTCTCCTTTGCCGTGAGTAGAGTTTCTTCATTCATTTCGTGTTCTGTGGCTGTTCCTTCGTCCTTGTGAGCTGATGATGCATCTTCTACTATGGCTCTGGGGGCTTCTGTTCCTGGCTCAGCATGTAGTTCAGATTCCGCTTCGGGTTCAGGAACAGTCTCTGATTTGGATTCTGCTTCGGATTTCGTTTCAAGATCAGTTTTTACGTCAGTTTTGCCTTCCTGGTTTTTGGATTTAGCTTCAGTTTTCGTTTTGGGTTTAGTCTCAGCCATGGGTTCAAACTCTGTTTTTGGTACAGGTTCAGCTTCTGCTTCAGGTTCAGGTTCAGCCTCAGTTTCTGGCCCTGGTTCAGCTTCTGTCTTGGGTTCAGGTTCAGCCTCAGCTTTTGGTTCAGGCTCGGTCTCTGCCCTAACTTCAGGTTCAGGTTCAGGTTCAGGTTCAACCTTCGCTTTAGGCTCAGGTTCAGCCATCTCACTATTGTCCATTACTTTATTGCTGGCTCCTCCACTGGACATGGACTTTGCTTTAGGAGACTCATCTGTAACGGTATTATCAGCAGTCATTTTATCTTTGCTCATTTTAGGGTTATCATGTACTTCAGTTTCTGTGGGGGCCTGTGACTCAACCTCAGACCGTTTATCTTGTTCTATGGATTCCTCTACTTGCTCCATAGATTGTGTGTTCTGTTCTGGCTCTTCCGTTTTTGACTCTGATTCTATCGGAGCTTCTGCCTCTTTTACGTGTTCTGGTTCTGTTGTAGGTCCTTCTTCCTCTTCAATTTTGCCTCCGTCTTGCTTTGAAACACTCATCTCGTTCTTGAGGGTGGCTTCGAGGTCTACCTCAGAATGGATCAAGTTAGTTGGAGAGTGGATAGGACTGTGGGTCTCTGTCTTGACTGTTGATTCTTGCTTGATGCTTTCTCTTTCCATTTTCTGTCCATTTTCCTCTTTGGGATCACTCACCTTCTCGTTTTCACGCGTGGCTTCCAGATCCACTTCTGAGTGGATTAGATTTGTTGGAGAGTGGATAGGAGAATGTTCTGTCTTGACTTCTGATTTTTCAATCTCATTCTTGTCTGCCTCTTTGTCTTCCATTTCTGTTTTGGGAGATTCTTTATCATCAACCACCACATTCGTCCCCACTCTCACTTCCATATGTTCAACATTTTCATTTTCTTCTTTATGTACCTCATCTTCAGAATGAGTAGGGGAGTCAGTACTCTCCTCCTCCTCCTCCTCCTCCTCCTCTTCTTCTTCCTCCGAGTTTGCCTTTTCCTCTTTTTCGTTTGTCGCGTCTGATTTGGGTGTATCGTCCGCCGTATGCATTGCTTTCCCCATATTGCTTTCTTGTGTCTTTAATTCGTTTTCTCCTTTTTCCTTTTCACCTTCCATGACATTGTCATTCTTCTCATCATCCATGGCCTTGTCGTCATCCATCGCTTCTTTGTTTTCTCCACTACCTGCCTCCTCACTATCACCACCATCACTCTCCTCTTCACTTGAGTCAGCAGTTCTTAAGTAGATGTTGTCCATTACATCACCAGAGATTACGCTCGGAGGTGTACCTGTTGCTCGTGGCTCTTCCTCTTGTTGTTCTTCACTCTCTTCTGTCTCGTTGAATTGCTTTTCCATCTCAAGAATTGCCTGCATGTTGGCCGTTTCTATGTCATTGTCCTGAAAAGTTTCCATCCTTGATTTCCCATCCGTGAGCATATCAGGTGCGTCTGATTCTTCTTCGCCATCACCGTTCGCTTTGAGTTCTGCATTTCGTTCTGTCAAGACTTTGGATTTGTCCTCTGACTCGTTATCCATATTGGGCAGAGAATCATCTTCTTCCGACGTGATTTTAGAATTTTCTCCCGTTGCTTTCTTTTGCTGTTTTTGCTCGCCTTTGGATTCTGATTCTGTCGTGGTGTTTGGAATGGACTCGGTTTTGTGAGTCTCCTCTGAGTCTGTTTCTGTTTCAGTTTCTACCATGGTCTTATCAGCTTCAGGTTCATCCTTGGCATCTGTCTCTTCCTTGGCCTTAGGAGCCGGTTCGGCTATATCCTGAAGATCCAATTTAGTTTCAGATTCTGTTTCAGACTTGGCATTTACGGCCATTCTGTGAGAGGACATTGATTTAGGTTGAGCTGCCACGGATTCTGATTTGGCCGCCTTCGCACCGCTTTTCTTTATTTGGGCATTTTCCTCGGCCTTCGTCTTTGGCTCTGGTTCTGGTGCAATTTCGGGTTCTGGCTCCGGTGCAGCTTTTGGTTCTGCTTCAGGTTCCGGTTCCAGCTGAACCTCCGATTTTGGCTCGGGTTCAGGTTCGGATAAAGCTTCAGGTTCTGGTTCTGGCGAGGCTTCAGGTTCTGCTTCAGCTTCAGGTTCGGGTTCTGACTTCGCTTCAGGTTCTGGTTCAGTCTTCGGTTCAGGCTGGGCCTCGGGTTCTGCTGCGTCCGTGTGTATCCCCACGGACGGCGCGTGGTCGTCCTCAGCCTCGTCCTCCTCCATGGCAGCCCCTCCTTGAGCGTCGCGCGTCACAAGCAGACTTTCCTTGTCGCTGTCGTCCGAGTCGTCCTCTTGGCTGTCATTGTCTGGATCGTCGCCTTCGTCCTCCTCTTCTGCAATGCTACCCGGGGCGACCAGACTCTCCTCGACCACAGACGTCACTGCGGTTTGGGGATCGACAGCTCCACTTCCCTCCTGGCGGAAAATAATCTCATTAGCATTGCAACAAAAGATTTCGCCATCATTGTTACTTACACGGCTCTGCAACTGGTTACTATTTTTTGAGGATGGTGAGAGAGATTACCATGATTAGATTTGGATTTCTCTTTCTATCTTCCTACTATCTATGTATTTATCTCTATCTCATTCTCCTGAGATTATACCACAATATGAGAGAGAGAGAGAGAGAAAGAATGAGAAAGAAAGATAGAGAGAGAGAGAGAGAGGCGCAGACGACCCGTAACCACAAGGTCTCATCCCCGCAGACAGCAGCCGTCCCGCTCAGATGATGCATTATGTAATGTCATGACCAAGGCTGCAGCTAAGTGACTCATTGCGCATAACACTCGCAGACACGTGTCAATACACACACGCACCCCACCCACCCACACACACACAAACATACATACCTGCCTATCTATCTATATCTATCTATTTGTTTATCTATCTATTTGTTTATCTATCTATACATACACATAAAAAAATACCCTGGAACTCCTTGAACCTTACCTCCTCCTCCTCGATGCTGGAGGGCGACACAGCAGTCACCTTGTCCGCGTGCTTCCCCAAGTACGAGGACACGAGCGACCTCCTCCCGCGGGTCTCGAGGGCGGGGGAGGACAAGGACGGCCTCCCCAGCGCCCCCGACGCCGCCACGGACACCAACGCCACCTGCAGAAGGGGGAAAGGTTAGATTTTATATCTATTTTACTTTCTTTCTTTCTTCCTTCCTTTTTATTATTATTATTATTATTTTATCTTATTATTTATTATTTTATTTTATTTCTTTTTGTTATTATTATTATTTTGGTTCTATTTTTTTCTTTTTACTTTTTTGAGGGTTAGGTTAGGCCATTAGGTTATTTTTACTGTTGTTTGCTGTTGCAGTATTTTAATGATCGTTTTTATTATCAAAGTTTATCAAATGCCTGTTCTCTGTTTCTATTATTACTATCTACGTTGTCTGTCATTGTTAACTTGCTAGATACTTGGAGACTTAACAGTAAGCAGTAGTAAAATTATTATTATTTTTTTTTTTTACCATTTTATTATTATCATAATTATTATCAACGACATATTCATCATAATCACCATCATTGTTGTCATTATTATCATCTTCACCTTCATCATTATCATTATCCTATTCACCATCATCATTACAATCATCATCCTCATCATTCTGAATACTCACCATCACTATCATCATTTTATCATCTTTAATATTATCGTTTTCAGCGAGCAGTTGGTGAAATTATTCAATTAAATATATAAAACATTATCTGCACCGCTACAGAAAAAAAATATATTTCTCACAACCTGTAGTAAAATAAATAATAAAGTCACATCGAGATTTTAATAATATATTCATGTATTCCGCAGAAAAATGCGAGGAAATGATAATTCCTGTTTAGGGAAACGAGTAGGATTTGTGGTTAAATGGAGGGGGAAGGAGAGGATGGAAGGAAGGAGGAAAAACAGAGAGAGAGAGAGAGAGAGAGAGAGAGAGAGAGAGATAGACAGACAGACAGACAGAGAGGATAGGAGACAGACAGACAGACAAAGTGACGGAGATAACAAAAATATATGAAACTCAAAAGAGAGAGAATTGGAGACAGAGAAAGACAAAAAAGAGATTGAGACAAACAGAAAAGAGAGAGAGAAGAAGAGAGAGGAATTGATCAATACGAAGTCACGTGTTGTCTCCCCCCCCTCCCCCTCCTCCCTTAACCCTGCCACCACGCCTTTGGAGAATAGTAAGGTAAGGATTTCATTGGCGCCCTCTTGCCCGTGCCTTATTTACTAGGATTAGATAGAGGATTGGATAAAGAAGGGAAGGAAGAGGAGTGAAAAATCCAAAAGGTTGAACACGGGTGTCTTTCTTTTCATTATTTTATAGGATTGTTTGTTTTAAAAATAATGATAAAAAATAAGAAAGAGAAAAGTCTAAAACTTGTTATTTCTTTATAGGGATTATATATGTAAAAGGAAATGAAAAGTAAAATATTTAAGATTCATCACTCTCTTATAGGGATTATGTGTATATAAAAAAAGAAAAGCAAGTTTTTCATTATTTTCTTGTTTGTCGTCGCTAAAAAAAAGAAGTGTATTCTATGCAATATTCATTGTCATTATTATAATCAAAAGAGAAATTAAGTCACGTTTTTCTCCCCCGGTGCACTTAAATGTGATTTATAAAAAAAAAATGTTGAAAATGATAAAATTACCTTAAAAACTGTGGATGGTACTGCTGTTTATATAAAGTATTTGTAATCAGGTTAATGTTATATGGGACGTATCTCTTTTTAGGTACTGCAGTCACATTCTATCAAAAGATGATCTTGGAAAATGTTTTTAAATAGACATGAGAGCAACCCCCCTCCCTTCCTCCCTCCCTACCCCCCTCTCATCCATCTTCCCCCTCTCCTTCTTCTCTCCCTCACTTTGTCTACCCTCCCTTCCCCCCCCCCCCCTCGTCCCTTCTTAGTTCTTCTACGTCTCCTCACCCTCATCCTCCCTTTATCTTCTCTGCTTTCTACTTCTCTACCCCACTCTCTCCTCTTCTTCTTTCCTTCCCCTCTTATTTCTTCCCTTTCCCCCTCCCTCCCTCCTCCCCAACCCTTCCCAACTCCTTCTCCCCAACCCCCTACCCTTCCCCCAATCTCCCCCACCCTTCTCCCTAAAATCCCCCCCCCTCTCCCCCCAATCTCCCCCACCATCTGCAGAGTCTCCCACCCCCCTCCCCCCCGGCGCCTGGAGGAGGAGGAGGAGGAGCCGACGAAGACACACACACACGTGGCCGAGCGCCGTCACCCTTATTGCGCCCTTGACCGAATCTTAGCGGGGTCGATATTTGCCAATATGTCCACACCTCTTCTCTTTCATCTTCTTTTCTTGTTTCTTTGCTTTTTTGCTTTGTTTTTTTCGTGTTTTTTGTGTTTAGTTTTATTATTGTTCCTATTACGTTTTGTTTGGGGTTTCATCTTTTCTTTTTTCTCACTCTCTTCCCCCTTTTTCTCCTCCTCTTCCTCCTCCCTTTTCTCCTACTCCTTCTCTCTTCTCACTCTCTTCCTCCTCCCTTTTCTCCTCCTCCTCTCTCTTCCTTCCTTTTCTTTTCCTCCTCCACTTCTTCCTTTTTCTCCTCCTCTTCCTCCCTTTTCTCCTCCTCCTCCTCTTCCTCCTCCTCCCCCACCTCATCTTCCTCATTTTCCTCCTCCTCCTCTTCCTCCCTTTTCTCTTTTTCCTCCTCCTCCTCTTCCTCCCTTTTCTCCTTTTCCTCCTCCTCCTCCCTCCCCCTTCTTCATCATACAATTGGCACTGCAGTAATGATGTCCGATGACGTCAGCATATATTTCCTGCACGGTTTCTTCGTCCTTCTAAAAAAAAAATCTTTTGTTGTTGTTGTCCACTTTTGTTTCTCCAAACTGTTTAACGAATTCTCATTAAGCATTAAAAAAAAAGTCTTGATGAAAAGTTTTTAATTTCCTCGCAGTCTCTTGCATATGTTAGATGTTCCTTTTTTTTCTTTTTGTCTCTTTTGTTTTTGTTTTTGTCTCTTGTGTTTTTGTTTTGTTTTGTTTCATATTTATGTGATTGTTTGGTGTGTTTGCTTCTGTAGTTATTTTTTCCTTGTTTTTCTTGTTGTTTGTTTGTTTGATTCTATAGTTATTGTTGTTGTTTTCTTTGCCTGGTTAATTATTATTTACTTATTATTTATGTTATTATTTACTTTGTTTTTGTTGTTTTCCTTGTATCTATTTGTTTAAATTGTTTAAATTGACTTCTCTGAGCATTTATTGACATTCAGTGACTAATGCGTCGGTTTGTATTTTTGCTCTGCGTTGGAAAGTCTTAGTCACGAGTAAATAAATGATTTCTGAAGTCTTTGTTGTTAGGGACGAAAGCCAAATATTTTCTGATCTTTCTCTCTCTTCCTCATTCTCATTTTCTTTCTCTTTTTTTTCTCTCTCTCTTTCTCTTCCTCATTCTCATTTTCTTTCTCTTTTCTCTCTCTCTCTCTCTCTCTCTCTCTTCCTCATTCTCATTTTCTTTCTCTTTTTTTCTCTCTCTCTCTCTCTCTCTCTCTCTCTCTCTCTCTCTCTCTCTCTCTCTCTCTCTCTCTCTCTCTCTCTCTCTCTCTCTCTCTCTCTGAAATATCTTCTCATCGGAAATTTAATAAGACGAAAAAAAAATAACGTAAAAAACCCTGTCTATTTAGATAACTTCGACATTCATTATTTATTCACATATCTATTTATTCTTTCTTTCCTTCTTTCTTTCGGTCGCGTTATTATCTAAGGTCATTAGCGGCGTCCACAAAATATAGCGCCAGGGTGGGGTTGGCAGTGAAGCCCCCGGGTAAGGAAGTTCATTGGTTCACAAGGCGATGTTAATAGCTTCCCGGAATGGCTAATGGTCGAGGCAAATAAATGGGCTCGACATCAAAGGTTATACAAGCACTAGGATAAAGTATTGTGGGGGAAAAATGGGTAGAGATGAGTTAACGATTAGGATGAGTGGATAGAACACGGGGATGAAGAGGAGAAGGGGGAAAGGATAAAAATGAGATAACGATGAGGATAAGTGGACAGAAGAGGGGGATGAAGAAGAGAAGGAAAAGAAAAAGGGGTGGAGAAAATAGAAGAAATAAGTTTAAGGTTTGAAGACCAAGGCATTGGGCCTCAGTCTCCGCCATCATCATCATCAGAGACTAAGATTATGGCAAAATCTTAATAAAGATATTTATGATGATAGTGTTCTTTCACTCTCTAAGAAAACTCAAATAGAATCATAATCAACAAAGACATTCTCTCTCTCTCTCTCCTCCTCCTCCTCCTCCTTCCTCTCTCTCTCTCTCTCTCTCTCTCTCTCTCTCTCTCTCTCTCTCTCTCTCTCTCTCTCTCTCTCTCCTTCTTCTTCTTCTTCTTCTTCTTCTTCTTCTTCTTCTTCTTCTCCTCCTCCTCCTCCTCCTCCTCCTCCTCCTCCTCCTCCTCCTCCTCCCCATAAGACATACGATATAGAAAAGGGAAATATAAAAACGAGATGATAGGAAGAGAGGAGGAAGAAAAAAAAAGAAAAAAAAATATAGCAGGTAAAACGTACTATACCTTAACGATAATGTATAGTAGTCATCATAAATGATTGCAACAGGCATGCATTTAACGAGAGAGTTTCAGCAACGATGCATAATTAAGCGTAATTCGTTAAGACAAAGAGACAGCTTAAAGAGTGCTGTAGCGTGAGACTATAGTCGGATTATACTAGACATCGCTCAATATTCAGTCCCGTGTTCCTTTTTGCCCGCGTTACTATTTTTTCTTCCGTCTTCTCGGTTGGTTCTCGAAACGCTTCGCTCTTATTCTTTCCTGTGTGCTTCATCGCGGACTCTTGCCCTGCTCTTGTTTTTTTGGTTTTTCTTCCTTATGATTTTTTTTAATGATTTTGTGTCTTTTTCTTTTTGTCTGTCTGTCTCTCTTTCTCTCTCTCTCTCTCTCTCTCTCTCTCTCTCTCTCTCTCTCTCTCTCTCTCTCTCTCTCTCTCTCTCTCTCTCTCTCTCTCTCTCTCTTCCTTGTCTTTCCTTCCTCCTCTTTCTTTGCCCTCACTCTCCTTCCTCATTCTCCCATCTCCCTCCCTCTCCCTTCTCTCAATTTTTCTCTCTCCCCCTCCACGGTCGC